TGGTGTAGGAGGTAATATTGACCTCTGGTTCTGGTGTAGGAGGTAATATTAACCTCTGGTTCTGGTGTAGGAGGTAATATTAACCTCTGGTTCTGGTGTTGGAGATAATATTAACCTCTGATTCTGGTGTAGGAGGTAATATTTAACTCTGCTTCTGGTGTAGGAGGTAATATTAACCTCTGGTTCTGGTGTAGGAGGTAATATTAACCTCCGGTTCTGGTGTCGGAGGTAATATTAACCTCTGGTTCTCTTGTAGGAGGTAATATTAACCTCTGGTTCGCTTGCAGGAGGTAATATTAACCTCTGCTTCTGGCGTAGGAGGTAATATTAACCTGTGGTTCTGGTGTAGGAGGTAATATTAACCTCTGGTTCTGGTGTTGGAGATAATATTAACCTCTGGTTCTGGTGTAGGAGGTAATATTAACCTCTGGTTCTGGTGTAGGAGGTAATATTAACCTTGATTCTGGTGTAGGAGGTAATATTAACCTCTGGTTCTGGTGTAGGAGGTAATATTAACCTCTGGTTCGCTTGCAGGAGGTAATATTAACCTCTGCTTCTGGCGTAGGAGGTAATATTAACCTGTGGTTCTGGTGTAGGAGATAATATTAACCTCTGGTTCTGGTGTAGGATGTAATATTAACCTGTGGTTCTGGTGTAGGAGGTAATATTAACCTTGGTTCTGGTGTAGGAGGTAATATTAACCTCTGGTTCTGGTGTAGGAGGTAATATTAACCTTGGTTCTGGTGTAGGAGGCAATATTAACCTCTGGTTCTGGTGTAGGAGGTAATATTAACCTGTGGTTCTTCTGTAGGAGGTAATAACCTTGGTTCTGGTGTAGGAGGTAATAACCTTGGTTCTGGTGTAGGAGGTAATAACCTTGGTTCTGGTGTAGGAGGTAATAACCTTGGTTCTGGTGTAGGAGGTAATAACTTTGGTTCTGGTGTAGGAGGTAATAACCTTGGTTCTGGTGCGGGTAGCATGTTTTAAATACTATGTTCTAACATATTTCCCTTGAAAAAGAGAATAACTGATGTGAGTTTTATAAAGATCATTCTATTGGTTAATCCAATATTGCAGTGGAACTTACCCTTTCTGAAAACTAATATTTCTTCCCTCCCTGCCAGCCTCTATGTTGATCATAAACATAGTGAAAATGGTACGTACAAATTCAACGTAGTCTCATGGAGTGATTGGTTTTATATTTTTTAATGTAGGAGTGAGCTGAGTTCCAGCTGCTGGACCTCGAGGGAGTTAAGATACAGGTGCTAGGCTTGCTAATAATTTGTCCATGAAGATGGCTCAAAATTTTGCTCTCTTAAAATTTTCTGACGAAGCGTAACTCCACTTGACTTTCAAGACTTGTGTACCCGGCCCAGGCCAACTCTTGGAACTTCATCATCATATGTTGCAAATACACATATTATCACATGCCTTAAATATCCTTTGGATGATTCTGGACACAGGAGTGATCCCAGTGATTAAAAATATACACAGGGTATGGTGAAATCGACATGTGAATAGATAAACTATGTACATTTTAGGACATTTATTAAAGGAAACGTTTCACCACAAGTGGCTTTTTCAGTTCTAATGAAGTGGTGAAGACTTCCTCCAGTTCTGTCAGCGTCCAGGACTGCATATAGCCCCCACAAGCATATAGCTTGTGGTTGCTATATGCATTAAAAACAATGCATATAGCTCCACAAATCGTAGTCTGTTTCATGTGTCTGTCATGTACTAGTCATCTCGCTGACTCTTCAATATGTCTGTAATGCTATTTAGTCAGCAGAAATGGGTCAGTTTCTCCTGAGATGAGTCTTAATCTTACAATAACCTGCTCACCTGAGCTTACTCGTCTACCACTTGATAATATTAAGATCATTTAGTATCCAACACACGATGCTCATTACAACAATTTTTCTGGAGTTACAACATACACATACATTACAAGTATTACAAAATGAAAGGTTCAATCAGATTTACCTTATTAAAAAATTACTCCTATTAAAAAACGTAAAAGAACGAAAATTTTATTTATTTTTTAAATTTTATATCAAACATTTATTTTATTAAAGAAAATTCCCCTTTGTGAAATCACAAAAAGCAGGTAAAATTATTATAGTAAAATAGAAAAAAAAAACTTGCAGTCGGAATCTGTGCTATAACTGGAGAATGACACATCTGATCGCCTTCAAATTTTTACCAATAATGTGATATCGTAAACACAAGGTTCAATTTGCCATTGGGTTCCTTTACTCTATATTTGCCAGTTTTATTGAATAACTAGTGATATTCAGTTTTTATTCAATAAATAAAGAACATTCTCAGCAACATTTTCATTTGCTTACTCACAAATTTTTGTTTATTACTTAAGAACGCCTTATTCGATTGCCTTCAAAATTTCAACTTATGTGTAATGTATCTTGGGCAATATTCATGGGTCTTTTTGCACGCGTATCTGATCTATGTACAACACTATATAGGTCATTCCCAAATTTTGTTTCCATGTGTTAGGTGGGTCAGGCTCCTCTGATAGGCTTCAAAATTTCAGGTCGTGTATCCTACTTAGTAGAAATTTTGTATATTTAACTGTGTTATGCCATTCTGCCACTTTTAATCTCGAAATAGTATATTATTTATTTATTGCTTATCTGCCTTATGCTGTGAGGGCTTAGTACAAGATGATTTATTCCTCTTACTTGACTCAGATACTAATGGACACGATTGCAACAAACCATACTCCGGCCGGGTAAAATATACCAGTTGATGAATCTTATGTGGCAAGCTGGTCTAGTGACTCGCGCGGGCTGGAGTTTGAGATGACCGGGTTCATCCGCCGGGGGTATGATTTTTGATCGTGTCATACGATTCTTGAGTCATGTTGAGGCATGAAGGACGTGAGCTAGGAGTTCGTCACGGCCACGCTAGCTGGGATTTCGTCTGTAAAATTGCTTTGTTGTCACAGTGGTGCTGTGCTAACTTCTTGGGTAGAAATTATCCTAGTTGGAAGGGATCTTATTGTGCAGCTGGTTCAGTGGTAACGCGACGGGCTGGAGTTTTGAGCTCTATGACGGCCTAGGGAAGGTCTTGATGTTGGTGAGGGCTCTTGATTTAGGATTGAACTGTGCTCCGTTCCCGAATTAGCTGAATGCCTTCACAATCCTGCCCCTAGGCGCTGTATAATCCACGGGTTTGCGCTTCTCCTTGATTATAATTATAATAGACCGCGGGTTCAATCCCGGCCGGGGTATGGTTTATTCCTCTTACTCTGATCGAATTTGAATGCCTCCCAGTTCACAGGCACAGTCTACTGACTTTGTTACTTTCTCCATAAATATGTTTAACTTGACACATTATGATGCATAATGGCTCTGCTAGTGGCTGTCTGTATTATTCTTCATCTTTCACGCTCGTTTGCTAGTGCCTTTCTGATAATATTTCGTAAACGTCTGTATGAAAAATTGGTTTCTATAGCATCTGCGTGTCTTTAAGACCACTGGCTGTATAGTCCTTGTGGCTTACGCTTCTTTTTGATTATAATAATAATAATTTAAGACCACTGTTAAAAGTCTCTTTGGTCCCTGTGAAAGATTTGAGTTAGCTTTGGTGTATGTCCTAATTTACCAATTTTATTGAAAATTGGATATCATTTTAAATATAACTTATGAATGTCTCCTCTGATTTCCTTAAAATCTTCAAAGGTAATATTTAGCTGCATTATCAACTTATGCTGCACTGTACTAGTTCAGTCCAGAGCATTGGGGTACAGTGGACGGCTGTGGATACGGGGATTACTTTCTCGAATCACGCAGCGACCGGAATGGATCTAATTATTATTATAACTGGAGATCTTGAAACTCGTATGGGGTCATGGAAGGGCAGAGAAGATCCTATTCCTTAGATCATGAGCCCCCTCACCGGCATTAAGGAACGTACGTTGAGAGGCCAGTCTTCTGGTGAGAGGCGGAAGCAGGCCACTGTAGCAGGAAGTGAGCAGATCCGGTCATTCACTCGCTCCTAAGTTTCACATTCCTTCCTGACACATTGCTCTTGATGATGTATTATTTTGCACCGTATAGCCTGGAGTCATAGTTTATCACCAGCATTATGCGTCATATGAATCATGAAGCATATAGCATAACCAACACACTATTATCATTGTAACTGTAAGCCCTAACATATGTCGTTCTTTCAGTTGTTAAAAAACTTCACCTGATGTTGATATGATGGTCGACTTATTGTTGTCTCCCAGCTCAGGCAAACAGATTTTATTATATGACCCCATCCTGTGTGATGAAGTATGACAGGAAAGCTATACTCTGTGATGGAATATGACAGGAAAACTATCCTCTGTGATAGAACATGACAGGAAAACTATCCTGTGATGGAGTATGACAGGAAAACTATCCTCTGTGATAGAATATAGTAGGAAAATCATCCTCTGATATAATATGACAGGGAAGCCATCCTGTATGATGGGTGTACTTCGTAAACATAGTTCTTGTTTCATTATCGTAGAAAAATCAAACGGATTGAGATAGTTGGACAATACGGTGTATTTTATTTTGATCTGGCGCATGTTTATGTAATAATAATAATAATAATAATAATAATAATAATAATAATAATAATAATAATAATAATAATAATAATAATAATAATAATAAAGAAAACGTGAGGGTCCTATATTCATTCATGGTGAACCTCTTAAATCTTTTAAGCAATACCCACATGAGTGGATAATACTGTTTAAAAAAATCAAATCATTATCATTAGCAGTATGTACATGTTGGAGCGTTAAAAAGTGCAAGAAACGTGAAGCTCGCAGGGAATAGGAAGTAATCAAGTTTGATCCGAGAAAGGAGAGGATAGCTCTAATTCTTGGAGTCAAGAACCCTTCACCTGCTTCAAGGTACCCATCATGAAACGTACGAAATCAAATGAAATCACACACGAATATTTAAAGCACACCAACCACTGAAACTATGCTAAATAATCACCTCTGCTGTACTTTTGCCCGTCGAGGTCTGAATGAACGTCAACACTGAGGTAGCCGCGCGCTGCCTGTATATATACCTCCTGTCTGATGGGGGGTTGGAGAAGCTCCCTTTCTAGTGAGACAAGTGAATTCTCTCTCTCTCTCCTCCAGGTGAAGTACCTATCCCCCATTTCCCCTCAGGCTAGGAAAGGAGTTTTCTCCTTTACTCCCCCCCCCCTCTCCATGTGATGTAGGGGCTTCTTCCCCCATCCCTTGGTGAGCCATGGCCTTTTCTCAGTCTTCCAGGCGAGGCAGTTCCTTTTCCCTCAAGCCAGGATGCGAGGCATCTCCTTTCCCCCCGGCCCCATACTAGACAAAGCAAGGACCTCAATTCTTTCTCCAGGCGAAGGAGTCCTTTTTTCCAGATACTAGGAAGAGACTTTTTCTTCTCCCACCATCCCCAGGCGAGGCAAGGTCTTCTCTGTTCTCTATCACATTATAATACTATACAATACCGACAAGTTGATAAGTAAGACACATGTGCAACACTAGGAATATTTATTGACGCAACGTTTCGCCTGCGCTGCAGGCTTCGTCAGTGGAATATAGAGAGAGGGAAAAAATACTCCTGGAGACATCGGTGTTGGTGGAAGACGAAGTGATGTAGTATGTAATCAGCTGTATGACCCTAGTGGGTTTAGCACTTCTTTTTTATTATCACCCTAGGTGCAAGAAGATCAGTCTCTTAGCCTAATGAAGATGTTAACAAGAGACTTAAGTACTGGAAGGTGAGGTGCTACATAGCAGCTTGGAGATGAAGTCACAGGTGAGCTGGGCGACTAGTGAAGTATGTCAGGCTTTACAGTTGTTAGCATGAGTTGCGGAACACATCCCTTGTACTAAGATACCATCGCGTTGCAGTGTCAGACAAGTATCATAAATGGTATACAGTACCGACTAATTGATAAGTAAGATACATGGACAACACTTGGAATCTATTTACGAAACGTTTGCCTGCGCTGCAGGCTTCAACAGTCGAATATAGAGATGAATCATGTTACTTACTAGAGACATCAGTATTGGTGGAAGACGAAATAGAAAGATGGTTTAATGTATATTTTAGGTATTAAACTAAACTCTCAGCACGCACGCGCGCGGGCACATACACGCGCGCGCACGCACGCACGCACACACACACACACACACACACACACACACACACACACACACACACACACACACACACACACACACACAGAATGTTCCAGAGAGGGGACACAGAAACAAGGGGTCACAACTGGAAGCTGAAGACTCAGACGAGTCACAGGGACGTTAGGAAGTATTTCTTCAGTCATAGGGTCGTCAGGAAGTGGAATAGCCTAGCAAGTGAAGTAGTGGAGGCAGGACCCATACATAGTTTTAAGAAGAGGTATGACAAAGCTCAGGAAGCAGAGAGGGAAAGGACCTAGTAGCGATCAGTGAAGAGGCGGGGCCAGGAGCTGAGTCTCGACCCCTGCAACCACAATTAGGTGAGTACATACACACACACACACACACACACACACACACACAACACACACACACACACACACCAGCACACACCAGCACACACCAGCACACACCAACACACACCAGCACACGCCAGGAGCTTGGACTCGACCCCTGCAACCTCAACTAGGTGAGTACACACACACACACACACACGCACACGCGCGCGCGCATATATGAGGTAAATATGCTGAAGCAAGTTACAGGGCTATTACCCAGAGGAGACATGACACTGGAAGCAGGTACACCCTAATTAAACGATGAGCCCACTGGAAAGGAAGGAGACGAGACTTAGGCTAAGGCCCTATCAGTCCACCAAGCAAGGCCGAGGAATGTAGGGGGAGAACCGTTAGGAGAAGGGAGAGCAGTAAGTGAGGGGGGGAGGTGGCAGGTCCCATGCAGAGGCAAGACCATGCCGCCAAAAGTTACAGGACAAAATAAGGGAGACAATGGCAATGTACAAAGGGGGCCCAGAGACACAGAGGGAAAGGTAATTGTAAAAGGAGAGGGAGAAGTCAGTGTTTATTCATGGGATTCAAGAAAAGGAAGGGAGGACATAATGAAAGATGGCAGAAAGAAAAACAGAAGATTGAAAACATCAAAGAAATAGGCGAGGAGAACATGACTGAGATAGTAAATTTTCAGAGAATAGGAAGGTACTTGATGGGGAGAAATCGGCCAGTCAAACTGATTTTCAAGACAGAAATGGAGCAGAACAGGATCCTGCAAGAGAAACCACGGCTGAAGGAATCATCAACATACAAGAGGGTGTTCCTAGACCACGACAGAACAAGAACAGAAGAGAAGACACAGAAACGAAAGGGACTAGGAAGAGAGACAAGGGCAGAGTCAGCAGAGGACAACCAGAGCTGGGCAGAGCAACAAGCACAAGCACACAGAACTACCATCAGAACCTCACAGCCAAACATGCTATCCCAACACAAACCACAATCCACACAACTCCCACCCCACAATATGCTATAGAATCCCACAGCATAATACCAAACCCCCCACCCCACAGACCCCCAGAACACAGTCTTGGAGAGGAAACTGAAGGTATGGTACACCAGAGCTGATGGAATAACAAGTAAGTGGGAGGAGTGGCAAGAAAGAATCAGAGAGGCATCACTGGACATCATAGTTCTCACCAAAACCAAGTTCACAGGAATGATAACATATACCATCTTTCCAACGGGATATTAGATCCTGAGGAAAGACAGAGGGAGTGGAGGAGTGGCACTGCTCATCAAAAACCAATGGGATTTTGATGAGCTGGAGAGAGGAGAAGCAAGAGACTTCATAATAGGAACACTTCAGTCTGGAGGTCCCAAGATGGTAATTGTAGTAACGTATAACCCACCACAGAACAGCAGGAGGCCAAGGCAAGAGTATGTTGACAGTAACAGAGCGATGGTTGACACACTGGCTGAAGTGGCCAGAAGGGCTAATGGGAGCAGGACAAAGCTACTGATTGTGGGTGACTTTAGTCACAAAGAAATTGACTGGGAGAACTTGGAGCCACATGGGGGCCCAGAAACGTGGAGGGCTAAGATGATGGAGGTGGCTCTGAAAAGCCTCATATGCCAACACGTAAGGGACACTACCAGAGAGGGAGGAGAGGACGAAACAGCAAGACTGGACCTAGTATTCACCTTGAGTACTACAGATATTGAGGACATCATATATGAAGGACCCCTCAGAGCCAGTGATCACGTGGATCTGAGCTTCGAATACATAGTAGAGATACAAGTGGAGAGGGAAACGGGAAGGGCAGGATGAATGAAGCCAAACTACAAGAAAGGGGACTACAGAGATATGAAGAATTTCCTGCACGAGATTCAGTGGGACAGCACTGGCAGGGAAGTCAGTAAATGAGATGATGGATTATGTGACAACAATATGCAAGGAAGCTGAGGAGAGGTTTGTACCGAAGGCTAACAGAAATAACGAGGTCAGGACGAGCCCTTGGTTCACTCAGAGGTGTAGAGAGGCCAAAACCAAGAGTGCTAGAGAATGGAAGAAGTATAGTAGGCAAAGAACGCAGGAGAATAAGGAGAACAGTCGTAGAACCAGAAATTAATATGCACAGGTAAGAAAGGAGGCCCAACAACAATATGAAAATGGCATAGCAGCGAAAGTCAAAGCTGACCAGAAGCTGTTGTGCAGTCATATCAGGAGGAAAACAACAGTCAAGAATTTTTATAACAAACATTAGTGTTTCAAAAATTTTGTTTCACATAAAATCTTTTAGAATATTTTATTCAAGAAATTTCTGGCTTATGTAATCACAAAGACGGTCACTATGATATATACACCAGGTGGTGCATTTATATATGCTGAAAGATTAATTTAATCCTTACTATAGGAAGTGATGCAAGGAGGGAAGAGTATATGGAGAAAAAGAGAGAGGTTAAGAGAGTGGTGAAGCAATGTAAAAAGAGAGCAAATGAGAGAGTGGGTGAGATGTTATCAACAAATTTTGTTGAAAATAAGAAAAAGTTTTGGAGTGAGATTGACAAGTTAAGGAAGCCTAGAGAACAAATGGATTTGTCAGTTAAAAATAGGAGAGGAGAGTTATTAAATGGATAGTTAGAGGTATTGGGAAGATGGAGGGAATATTTTGAGGAACTGTTAAATGTTGATGAAGATAGGGAAGCTGTGATTTCGTGTATAGGGCAAGGAGGCATAACATCTTGTAGGAGTGAGGAAGAGCCAGTTGTGAGTGTGGGGGAAGTTCGTGAGGCAGTAGGTAAAATGAAAGGGGGTAAGGCAGCGGGGATTGAAGGGATAAAGATAGAAATGTTAAAAGCAGGTGGGGATATAGTTTTGGAGTGGTTGGTGCAATTATTTAATAAATGTATGGAAGAGGGTAAGGTACCTAGGGATTGGCAGAGAGCATGCATAGTTCCTTTGTATAAAGGCAAAGGGGACAAAGGAGAGTGCAAAAATTATAGGGGGATAAGTCTGTTGAGTATACCTGGTAAATTGTATGGTAGAGTTATTATTGAAAGAATTAAGAGTAAGACGGAGAATAGGATAGCAGATGAACAAGGAGGCTTTAGGAAAGGTAGAGGGTGTGTGGACCAGGTGCTTACAGTGAAACATATAAGTGAACAGTATTTAGATAAGGCTAAAGAGGTTTTTGTGGCATTTATGGAGGCTCAAGTTAGAGTATGTAGGAAAGAGGGAAATTATTTCCCAGTAAAAGTAGGCCTTAGACAAGGATGTGTGATGTCACCGTGGTTGTTTAATATATTTATAGATGGGGTTGTAAGAGAAGTAAATGCGAGGGTCTTGGCAAGAGGCGTGGAGTTAAAAGATAAAGAATCACACATAAAGTGGAAGTTAACCATTCTTACAGTATTCATTACCTTTGTAACTTGTGAGTTCATTACCTTGTACCTAGTTCAGCCATCAAAACTTTGGGGCCCGGTCCCTGGACCCATTGTGTACCTCTGTAATCTGTAAATACCTTTGTAACTTGTCATGATTGTGACTAGACCTACCTGGAGTTCATTATCTTTGTAAATTGTGAGTTCATTACCTTTGTAAATTGTGAATTCATTACCTCTGTAA